TTCTGTCAGTGCTACTGTGCTGTAAAGGGCAATGAAACTGCCCATCACAGAGGAGTGTTGTGTCCCTGACACTGTGATCGTGGATGTACATTATGCACCTCCACAAATCTTTGTTCTCAGCTTGTTTGAGTGTGGAGTAACCTCTGAGGTGGGAGGGAGCTGCTGAGGGGTCTTATGGCTTAGGGACCACTGTGAATCTTTAGATCCCGAGGATTCAGAGAAAAGGATGCTGTGAGAGAGGGGTAGCCTCAGCTGAGTTTAGACTCTACAGCACTTTGTACTGCTATACAGAGGGATCTTCCTAATGATGTCACTCTCAGGAACGCATTGCTGTCCAGTCAAAACTGACTCATAACTGACCCCCAAGTAGTATTTTGTAACTGTAAGTTCCACAGGAGGAGTTGGCCCATCTTTCTTTCAAGAAGCCTCTGCTGGACGTGAACCGCCAGAGAGGTGCAAAACCTCCTATGGACTGTGTCACCAGAGCTGCTCAGTGATGTCTCTACCTAGCTTAAACCCTAAGTAATTGAATTCTTGGGGCTCTTTGACTAAAATCCACACTTTTCTGAGGCCTTTAGCATCCCCTAGCCTTTGCCCACTCTCTGAGCTCTTCTACTACCCTCTCCCTGACTCACTGCACTTCACTCACGCTGACCTCCTCTCCGTCTGTGGCTTGTGTGGAAACACACCACTCCTGCCTCTAGGCCTGTGCACTGGTTTCCTTTGCTGGGGATGTGCTGCCCTTCTTATAGCTGCTCAGATAGCTAAAATGTCTTCACCCCGTTTCCCATCTTAGCTCCTTGTTCTTCACTATCTGAAAGGTTATTGTTTATAGGATTTTACTGTCTCTAGTTTACCTCATCTATGTTGTCATCCAATATTTATGAAGCTAAGGCGTTTGCTTAGACAAGGCAAAGTTCTCCACTAACTGTAATCTTGGTTTCTGCTTTAATACTTGCTGTATAGTTACAGCCACTTTCTCACCCACTCCCCAGTTATGCAAGTATCTTTTAAAAAACTTTTTGTGATTTGAGTGAAAATTTACAGATTAGATTTCCTTTAGTCATTCTTTTTTTTTTTTTTAATTGATTGCTGTTTCCTTGTTGTATCACCACTCCTTCCACTCTCTCTCTGTGATTCTTATTTTCATACTTTCATCCATTTCTATTGTCTTAGCTGTCTCCCTGGGCATATGTTGCCCTTGTGAGCCTGTTGATTGTTCTAAGGGCTGTGTACCTCCCTGGTGTTAATGTTCACCTTATAGATCTGTCAGTTGTTTGGCTAAAAGTTGTGCTACAGGGGTGAGTTCAGTTTGAGGCTCAGAGAACAAAGAAGGGCCTTTGGTTCAAAGGTTCCATAAATCTCCATAGACCAGTAAGCCGGGCATTACTGTGATTTTGAGTTTTATTTCATTTTTGTCTCCCACTCTTATCTAGGACTTTCTATGTGTCTCTTTCAGAGAGTTTAGTAGTGATAACCAGGCAGGAGTTAGCTCTGGTTTCAGTGTAGGTAAAATTGAGATTCTTGAGGTCTATTAATGCTGTGGACTAATTGTTTCTATGCACCTTTGATTTTTGTCACTGCAGACAGGGACAGGGAGGTAGGGAGTTACATCTTAGGTGGCCCCACACAAGCTTTTAAATTTTGAGTTGCTGTTTTGTGGACTGTGTTAGCTGATTAGCCTTGATATTCCCTGAAACTATGGTCCTGAGGCTCGTGAGCAGGGACTCATACCTCAGTGTGTTGGTTATGGTTAAGAAGTTTACATAATTTTGCCAATTTTGCCCCCGTGGGCTCTATTATAATACTTGGGATGTATTACCAGTGTCTACAAAAACTCATGTTGAAAGATCATCTGCCAAACCTGTGCGTGAATATGGGTGTAGTCCTTTCACTTGCCCATATCTGTTGGTCTTGTGTGTCTGCATATGTTGCCACTTGTTGGTTAATGTTTGTTGTTACTGGTAATGTGGGGTGGTGTATGTAATGGTTTTTTTTTTGTTGTCTGTGACTCTTGTGTAGCTTTCTGGGTTTGCCTTTTCTTTAGTGATGCTATGCTAAGCACTCTTTTTATATATATAGCCTTTTCCTTCACCTAGTTTAATAGGTTACAACAATCTTATAAAGAAGAGTTACTGACCTTGTTGTCCACATGATAATTTGTATATTCTTGAGCAGGATTTGAACCTGGACCTGACTTCCCTCTCTGTGCTCCCCTTCCTTGCCTTCTGCCCTCACTTTGAGCTGTATTTTTAATGAGTCTCTTTTCCCTGACTGGTAATCTAGCACAGAGTAGTGAAAGTCCAAGAGTGGGCCCAATGGAGAAAATTTGGGAGGAGGGGAATAGAAGGGCTGCTGTTTGACTTTGGAGGGTTTACTGTGCTGCTCTGAGCTGCTAGAGTCACATTGCCAAGTGAGAAGAATTGGAAAGTGCGAGGCTTGACCTACATGAGACGCTGTTACTACCACCAACCCCTGTGATTTCATACTGGGAACATGTCCCTAGATTCCCAGCACTGTGTCCTGGGCCAGACTCCAGACCTCTGGGACTTGGCGCCTATGGTCTGGTCAGCCCCACAGGCAGCCCTGGTTTCCTCTCTGCTCTATGCTTTGAGCTTCTTCTCCAGGGAGTATTCAGCAGCCCAGGGGGGCTTGATGGGGGCTAGTCTGGTGATGCCTCCACCCACCATCTGGCAACTGGGACCCCATCCCAGACTCTGGCTCATCAATATTTAGACAAGGACTTGGGGACAGGGGTCGTGTTGCACCACCCGAACTGAGTTAACTTCCCACCTGGCAGTCTCAAGCCTCTCTAGAGCTGAGCCTCATTTTCGCGTTTTGGGTGGTTAAGCCCCTCCCCTAGCTTTGAGAGGCGGGGTCGGAGGAGTGGGCGGGACCAGTGGAGAAGGTGGGCGGAGGACCTGGAGAGCGGCCCCTCCCCCTCTGCCCGGAGCGGATGCTTGGGCTGGGTGTCAGCCTCTCTGACCCAGGGTGCTGAGAGGTGGGGAAGGTGCTGCCTCCCGATCCGGAGTAGTTGGATAGCGGACAGTCCCAGGTGGCAAGCCGCAATCATGGTGGTGTTCCTGGGCCGCCGCCTCCCCGCGTTTCTTGGACTTTTTAAGAAGGGTGAGTGGGTGTTGCTGGATGGGGAGAGGCTGTGATCCTACACTATTTATTTAGCAGACCCTTGTGTGGAGTAGGGGTCAGGGCCGGGTAAAGCCTTGGGATGGGGGATGGGGTTGGCAATAAGGTCAGAATACCCTGTTGGCCACCGCCTTGCCTTTGTCCAGACGCTTTGTCGCTGCCTTTGTCTGGGCCCTATATTTGCTTGGGAACATGGATCCAGGTGCCCCTGACCTTGAAGCCTGCAGCCCTCAGGCGAGACTGGCTTCCGCCAAGGTACTCACACTTTACTGGGTACCCGAGGTCAGAGAAGTAGGCAGCCTTTTCCCTAGGCTAGCCCAGGATGTTGAAGAGGATGTGGGGAGCAATGAAGAAAGTTGGGGAGCGTGAGAGGGAGCATTTATCATGAGGAGCATGATAAATGAAATGATGTTTTTAGAAACCAGAGGATGGAGAACTTTTGGAGAAAGAGGCCTCTGCCCACTTCCTTCTCTTAGGGCTTTTGGGTCTGGACTGAGATATAGGGGGCAGAGGAGGCCCCCTAGTCTGAGCATGCTCTGGGAGTCACCTCTGAAAATCCCGTTTAGACCTTTCTCTCCCTGGGTGACCTTAGGCGAGGCCTAGCCTGTTCTGATCCTGTTCCCACTTGGAAACCCAGAGGCTTGGGCAAGAAGATCTGCTGGGGGACCCCTTTGCTCTGACCTTGTGGGATTGCTGCAGATTCTCTATTTAGCTGAGGAAGCATGGGCAGAGGGAGGAGGAAGGGGGTCTGAACTGAAGACCCTGTACCTCAGGCCTGCCCTTTGAAGGACTTGTTTTGTTTCTGCCCCTCTACAAGGTGCTGCCAAGGTCACATGACCCTCGGGCGCTTTTGCTTATGTTGTGGGTTCCATTTGAAGGGGGGCTGGGGTTGCTAACTGCTGACAAAGCCTCCCCTCCCCAGGATTAGATGACCAGTCCCCCCCCCATGGGCGGGGCCTGTAATTAGATCCTTTGTAATGGATCTCTGGCTCCTCTGTACCAGGGGCCAGGGCGAGGGCCTTCTTGGAGAGGGGGGATACCTGGCACTGCTCCCATAAAAGAGGCTGGAGCTTCCTTGATTGGTGTAGGACCAGGCCCTTTTTCTTCCACCTCCCACCCATCTTCCCCCTAAAGGGCAGCCACCACATGGGTGAGTAGAGGACTCAAGAGGCCATCTCCCTGGTCTTTGCCTTCCTCAGGATTTTCTGGGAATCTCTTTATAGCTGGCTAGCCCCTACCTCTTCCAGGTTTCCCATGGTGTCAGATTCCTAGCCCCGGCCCAAGGGTTTATGCAGAAAAGATCATTTGTTTCCTATAAATAAGGTATGGGGCCTGGCTGGAAACAGGAGAAATATATTTGCTATGAGCAGTGTATTTATTGTAAAATCAGAAAACTGGGCTCAGTGCTAGCTATGTGGGTACACAGTGGTGTGTATGTTTGGGTACTGTTTGTCTGTGTCCAGGAGAGGCAATGTGGGAATTCTGTATATATGTAAAAGTTAAGTGTGCCGTGTGCCCCTTGTGTGGTATGAGTGTGCAGATGTGTTTATGTTTGGTTGCTGTTCGTATATAGACTAAAATCTGTATACTAAATCTGTCTGTGCTGTGGATGGGGCCCATTGGATGATGAGTACACAATTACATGTACACTTGGACATGGTTTCCATATGCACATGGGGGCTGCATGTGTATGTACTGAGTGTTTATACATCAGAATTGTGGGCTCTATACTCAGTTTGGAGGCTGTGGGTACTACGTGTGTGTGCAGGGACCATGTATAGTCTGGGGGTCTGTGAGTGCTATTGGGGAGCTTAAGTCTTTGGGCCTCACTTGCCTTCTTTCTTCAATCCCATTAGGCTCTGCTAAGGCTGAGAATGACAAACGTCTAGGTGCAGGACCTGGCCAGGGGCCTGGGTCTGTCGTGGATGAGCACCAGGACAATGTGTTCTTCCCTAGCGGACGACCACCTCACTTGGAGGAGCTGCACACACAAGCCCAGGAGGGGCTCCGTTCCCTCCAGCACCAGGGTAACCTCCCTCCCACCCCCTGCCTCCGCCAGTGCTACCCTCTTAGCTCCCTGGATCAGGCCCTTAAGCCCAATCCATTCTTCTGATATTTTCCAGAAAAACAGAAGCTGAGTAAGGGCAACTGGGATCATGGAGACACCCAGAGCATCCAGGTGAGAACTTTCCCCCAGCTCAGTCCTGACTTGTATCCCTGGCATATATATATATATATATGCCTTGGACCCCTGTGGTGTAGTTCCCTTCTTATATAGATAGACTCGACTATTTGACCCACAACTCTAGAGCTGCTCCAACTGATGTTTGTTCTTCAATACTAGGTGGTCCTGGGAGGGAGGGGAGGAGAGGACCTGTGAGTTAAAAGTCAGTGATGCACCTCACCTGGGTCTCTTTGTTCCCTCCCAGTCTTCCCAGACAGGGCCAGATGAAGACAGCATCTCTTTCTGCAGCCAGGGCACATCCTACACGGCAGAGAGCTCTACGGCAGAGGACGCGCTCTCCATCCGCTCAGAGATGATCCAGCGCAGAGGTGCCTGCTTGCTTAGCTGCCTGCTTGGCCTAGCTGCCTACTGAGATTCTCACCAGGGCTGGGCTAGGGGGGGTCCCAGCACCTGCACTTTCCCAAGGCTGTGAGATTCAGTGAATTCAGAAAACACAGAACCCTGCATCTTCTTGGAGTTTCATGATGCATACTGACTACAGTGTAGGGCTAGCAAGGGTGTGGGCTCTGAAGTCAGGTAACCTGAGTTCAAGGCCTGAAGTTGCTATTATTAGCTGTGTGACCTTGGGCAAATCATTAACCTCTCTGAGCTTTAGTTTGGCGTTCTGTGAAAATGGGGATAATGAGAGTACTTGCATCATCATCCATTGTCTAGTATGTTGACTAACAATATAGTAAAACCCAACCCATTGCCATCAAGTTGCTTCTGACTCAGTGACCGTGTAGGACAACAGAACTGCCCTAGAGAGTTCCTTTACAGGGACCACATCTCTTTCTTGCAGAGGAACTGGTGAATTTGATCTGCCAACCTTATGATTACTAACCAAGTGCTTAAGTACTTTGTTGCCAAGGTTCTTAACACCATAGCAAGCACATTCTAACTGGAAATAGGGAGCTCTGAAGGCTTAGTGGTAAGGAATTAGACTGCCAAAGCAAAGGTACATGGTTTGAATCCACCAGATGCTCTGCAGGAGAAAGATGGGCGTTCTTTTTCCATGTCATTAACTGTCTCTGAAAACCCACCAGAGGGTCAACAGTGGGTCATTTCCAACTTGATGGTAAACAACAACTGGAAATTGTCAGTATTGGCCTGATAAAGACCTCAGAAGTTTCTGACTTTGTTCAGCCCAGCATTATGCACACTCACTTGATTCTGGGCTATCTTTTTATTGTGTTTTTAATATCCTGCTGAAGTAGCACCATGCTAGAATGTGCCCTGAGACCTCTTGCTCTGAATGCCTTTTCTCGTTGGCTTCTAGGCTCCACCTTCCGACCCCATGACTCGTTCCCCAAATCTGGCAAGTCTGGGCGGCGGCGGCGAGAACGGAGGAGCACAGTGCTGGGATTGCCACAGCATGTGCAGAAGGAGCTTGGTGAGCCCTGGTCTGGGGAGATTGGCAGTGGGAGCCTTGACTGGTCCCTCTGCTGACCCTGGCCTCCTCCCTGTCCATCCTAGGCCTGCGGAACGAGCGTGAGGCACCAGGGACTCCTCGGCCTCCTATCTCCCGAGATGCTGTCCGCATTCCCACCGTGGATGGCCACCAAGGGGGTCTGGCCTCAGGGACAGGTGTCCGGGTGTCCCTGCAGGCCCTGGAAGTGGAGGCAGAAGCTAGTACTGAAGCAGAGGCTATGCTGCAGCGCCACATCGACCGTGTCTACCGGGATGACACCCTCCTTGGCCGGTCCACAGGGGCTCGGCCCCCACCACTTACCCGGCCCATGTCCCTGGCAGTGCCAGGGATGACAGGAGGTGTGGGGCCTGCAGAGCCTCTAAGCCCAGCCATGTCCATCTCGCCCCAGGCCACCTACCTGTCGAAGCTGATCCCACATGCGGTGCTGCCACCCACAGTGGACGTGGTCGCCTTGAGCCGCTGCAGCCTGCGCACACTGAGTCGCTGCAGCCTGCACTCGGCCAGTCCAGCCTCCGTCCGCTCCTTGGGCCGATTCTCGTCAGCCTCAAGTCCTCAGCCCCGCAGCCGCCACCCATCCTCCTCTAGTGACACCTGGAGCCACTCTCAGTCCTCTGAGACCATTGTGTCTGACGGCTCTACCCTCTCCTCCAAGGGTGGCTCTGAGGGCCGCCCAGAGGGCTCTATGGCGAGCACCAGTGTGGGACCCCCTCCCCCGGGGGGCAGTGGGAGGGGTTCTCCTAGCGGGGGCAGCACTGCTGAGGCCTCCGACACAACCAGCGTCCGGAGCAGTGGGCAGTTGTTCAGTCGGAGCATGTCCCTGCGTAAGATGAAGCGGCCCCCACCACCTCCCCGCCGGACCTACTCACTCCGTCAGCGGGGCTCAGCAGTCCCTGATGGGCCCCTGGGGTTGCCACCCAAGCCTGAGCGGAAGCAGCAGCCACAGCTGCCTCGGCCCCCCCCCACTGGTGGGTCAGAAGGAGTGGGCACAGCACCTTGTCCATCCAGCTCAGCAGGCAGCTGGGTGCCTGGCTTGTCTCCAGGGGGCTCCCGGAGACCCCCACGCTCCCCAGAACGGACACTCTCTCCCTCCAGTGGATATTCAAGCCAAAGTGGCACCCCTACGCTTCCCCCCAAGGGTCTGACAGGTGCCCCTACTTCCCCAGGCAGGGCCCAGCCCCCTAAACCAGAGCGAGTCACTTCCCTGCGCTCTCCCGGGGTTTCTGTCTCTTCCTCTCTCACTTCTCTCTGCTCCTCCTCCTCTGACCCAACTGGCTCCCACATTTCCACCACTCTGAGTGACAGGTTTGTCATACCTCCTCACCCCAAGGTGTCTGCTCCCTTTTCTCCGCCTCCCTCTAAGCCCAAGAGCACCAACCAGGCTGCCCCTGCCCTGGCTGGCCCTGCTCTGGCTGGCCCTGCTTTGGCTCCTGGGCCCGTCTTTGCCAATGGTAACAGTCCTGAGCCCTCTTCCATTCCTTCGACATGGCTGACCCCACCACAGGAGACTCCTGTGCTCACCAAAGGCCAGTCTCCCCCACCATCCCCACCCCCATCCTACCACCCACCCCCACCACCCACTAAGAAGCCAGAGGTGGTTGTGGAGACTCCATCCGCCCCAGAGACTGCTGAAGAGCCCCTTCACGATCCCAGCTGGCCCCCACCTCCACCTCCCGTCCCTGAGGAGCGTGACCTGTCCATGGCTGACTTCCCACCCCCGGAGGAGGCTTTTTTCTCTCTGGCTGGTCCTGAATCTGGGGATTCTTCAGAACCCCAGGAGCCTGCTAGTGCTCTGGTCGTAGTGCTCCCTATAGCTGCTTTCTCTCCCCAGAGCCAGCCTCTTGGTCCCCCAGAGCCTCCATCTCCCCCAGCTCCACCTCCTACTGGTTCTGCTGCAGGACTTCTGACCAGAGTCCCTCAGCAGGAACCTGGGGCCTGTAGCAAGAGCAGTGGAGCACCCCCGGGGGACTCCAGTGCGCCCCTCGTCACACCGTCGCTCCTACAGATGGTGCGGCTGCGTTCTGTGGGAGCACCCACAGGGGTTCCAGCACCAGCGCCAGGACCATCAGCTCCCCAGAAACCACTACGAAGGGCCCTGTCACGGCGGGCCAGCCCAGTGCTTGCCCCCTCCTCAGGGCTCCATGCTGCTGTCCGACTCAAGGCCTCCAGTCTGGCTGCCAGTGAGGGCCTTGCAGGTGCTCAGCCCAATGGACCGCCAGAAGCCGAGCCAAGGTCTCCCCAGTCCTCCGCCTCTACAGCCAGCTTCATCTTCTCCAAGGGTACAAAGAAGCTGCAGCTAGAGAGGCCTGTGTCACCTGAGTCCCAGGCTGACCTCCAGCGGAATCTGGTGGCAGAACTTAAGAGCATCTCAGAGCCACGGCTAGCCCAGGCCTCGAAGAAGTTGCCTAAGGCTCCCCCACCTGTGGCTCGCAAGCCCTCTGTGGGAGCTCCCCCTGCCTCCCCTAGGGCAGAGCCCCTTATTGCTGCTCCCACCAATGGGCTGCTTCACACCAAGAACAGAACTACAGGGGAGCTGGCTGAGAACGGAGGTGTTGTGCAGCTGGTGGGCCCGGGGGAGCGGAAGCAGGGCCTGCCTAGCTCAGGTACAGTGGGCAGCGATGGAGTGTGAGCCCCTCACTGATAATGGGAATAGATGTAGGAAGCCCTGCCATCTAGGATTTTGCATCTTGAGTTTTAAAACTTCTAGTTGGGGGCCACTGTCACCTAGGATGAACCAGTGAAGGAGCAGAGTGTGGTGCTTTGAAGTGAGACCTACTCATTCTGAATTCCTGCTTTCCCATCTTTTAAATGTTACCATTTTTTGTGGGTGTACCATCAAATCAGATCTGGCTGGTACAGGAGGAGATTATCCCTCCTTCTCCAGCAGAGCATCTGGTAGATTTGAACCATGCACCTCTGGGCTGCTTTGCCATTTTATTGGCCACTTTTGCCTTAGGCTCCTCATTGTCAAGGGTGAGCAATGATACCCTACAGAGATTTGGAGCTCAGTTAAGTTGAGGGGTTGGGAAAAGGCTGGGGGATATTTTGAGCCAAGTCAAGCAGCCCCTTAAGCATTCCTCTTTAACCCCCACAGATCCACAGAAAGAGCTGGTCTGACCACCTCACTGGCACTGCTCACCCATCCCAGAAAAACAATCTCAGGGACCAGAGCAGCTCTAAGGACCAGAGGATTCGGCAGACACAACCTAATCGAGAGGATGCTTACAGCCTTAACCTCCGCAGCCTTCGATATTTATGCAAGCCTGGTGTTGATCCCTGTCCTCCAAGTCATCCAGCTCTCATGCCTTTTCCCAGATATATTCACCTCTGGCATTTGCCACTTCAGTCTTGGCCTTATACTCATGTGGAAAGAGGTAGCTGGTAGGAAGGAGTAGGTGGGTGCGCCCCCTGCTGGCCTTGAGGTGAGGCCACAGACTTGGGACCAGAACACCTTGCTTGAGGTTTGTTTTGTTGCATTTTTTCATGTCTGAATGAGCTCAGAATCATGCACATACTGTAGTACAGAATCAAAGCACTTTGTGAAACGTGGCTGCATGTCCATCTTCCAGGCCCTGCGATGCCACATTCCAGGGGGTCTGTTTACATGGCAGCAGCACCCGTTTCCTGTGACCTGGCCATAGCTGGGACCAGTCTGTCCCCTCCCTGCCATCCAGTTTGCGCTTCTCCTTAGTTCTTGGAGGTGGGCTAGTCAGTGTATTCTCACAGGCTTCCCCAGGCTGGGGACGGGTGGCGCTGTGGAATTCCAAAGCACAAAGGGTGCAAGAGAAGTTGAACTTCTGTGCCTCAACTTACCACCAACCACCCTCCTGCCTTCCAGTTACACCAGGTGCTCCATGTAGGGGACAAGCAGGGGACTGCCAGGGTCCAGTGGGTGGGGGAAAGAAGGCCATCAGAGAGGTACACACAGCTTCTCTCTGCCCTCAGCAGTACAGAGTAGAGTGGCATCTCAGTACTTGGGGTAACTCCAAGCATCTCTCTCCTTGTTTCACTTAATCAGGTTTGGGTGGGCAGGTGAGCCAGACAGGGAGGTAGGAGCCCACAGACTGTGCCCCTTTGACCTCAGCAGGAAGTACTGAGGCAGCATGGAGAGTCTGATAGGGAGAACCTTTTATTTGGGCTGTGGGGCCAGACAGACCTGGCCCTATAGATGTCATTCTCAGACTTTTTCTTGGTGCATATCCTTTCTGTAGCTGTTTTTAGCACAGCTGGTTCTCCTGGGGTAACTGGTGACAAGGATGGAAAGCCAAAGGTGCATTGTATTCTAGACTCCTCCCTATCAACAGAGAAGGTGTCAAGTACTCCTAGGGGGTGGGTTTTCTCTTCCAATAATTTTAATGATTCCAGTCTTCAGCCAGTACTACTACTCGGTAAGCTGGTGCCCTAGTCGCTTACGGTTCCGATGGTGGTCCTAGGGTCTCAGAACAGCCTAGCTGCCACCTAGGGCTGCCATTTCTGTTGGAGGCCTTTTCCTCAACAGTGACTTGGGCCGGAGCTGGAAAGAAACCTAGTTTACTAGCCACCTCTCCTCTACTATGGAGAGAAATGGACTCCACCAGAATAAGAGCTGGGAAAACAGGGGATGTTGTGTAAGAGAACAACTTGTGTCTTCTGGCCCTCCTCAGGCATCTTCTGTCCTCTCGTAGCTACAAACCAATGTTCTTTCCTTGTCCTCTGGGCAGGGGAGAGCTGTTTGGGTTATGCTGCACCTGCCCAGAGAGCTGGGGAAGGAGGACAATAATCAGAACTGCTGAGCTCAGCTCCTGATCTGATCCCAGCACTCCAGGCCCTGGTAGCAGTCTTGGAGCTGCTGGAGGCAGGAGGGACTTACGTGTCCCTTCTAGGCCTTTGAACCAGCTCATTCTTGTTTAGCTTCCCTGATGAGAACTTCCCTTTCCGCACAATACACTGAATCAGAACCTAGACTTTTAACGAAATCCCAACTAGAAGAATCCGAAAGTCTAATTACCTGGGGATCTTGTTAACACGTAGACTGATTCTGTGTATCTGGCGTAGAAAACCCACCCACAATGAAGCCCTGGTCTCTTCCAATGTTACTTGAGCTCCTTATCCTCAGGATGTTCTGAGCTTGTTTCTTCTCTGGGTGGGACAGAAGACAGAAGGGAGGGAGGATCTGGAAGAGACCAACCATCCTCTCCTCTGGGGTAAATGAACTTGACGTAGCGCAATGGAGAGACCAAAAGCCTCTGATTTTTAATTTCTATAAAAACGTTAAGAGAAATATATATATATTTCTTTAAATTTTTGTGTCTTTGATATGTCTATACAGACAATTCATTCCCTCTGCCCTGAATCCTGAGTGAGACACAGTGAAAAAGCTGTTATGTGTTTCATTTAAAGGGGTTCATTAATTAAATACTTAAAACTTGGCTGTGACTACTGCTTCTTGATGGTGGGAGGGACAGGGATATGAGTGGAGCCCTCCTGTATGTAGCAGGGAGAATTGTTCTGCCTAGGGACCCAAAAGAGGGCCTCTCCAATTTTAATACTGCAAAGGGATTTGGAAATGTCTTCCATCTTCTTCCTTCTACTCCCGTTTCAGGGTCACAAGCACTGGTGCTTTAAACTTAGGTCCCTCTTTCCTGATACAGACCAGCTCCCAGACACGCCTCAGCCAGACAGGACACCCTTGTTCAGACAATTTATTTGAATTTGTGACAGTGATGGTTAATAATTCTGGTCGATACACCTCATGGACTCTTCCCTCTCTGGATAACTGTCCTGTGCCATCTACTCCATCCCAATATGCTGGTTTAGGGAGTGTCCTGATCTAGTAAGAGCAAGGGAGATTTCCTGGAGTGCCAAGACAGGCCTTGCCCCCCATGCCAGGCCTCGGCTAGCAGGCACAAGGATGCCAAGCACTTGGTAGACCAGTAGGTTCTCTGCATTCTCTCCCTTTACTTTTCAAATCCCACAATTTCCTGTTGGGGAAAAGCTGTCATTAGCCCAGACCAGGCATCAGATTCCAGCCAGAGGCTCAGCTGCTGGAGTAACTCCCAGAAAACTTGGGAACCAATGTTTTTCCAATTAGGAGGAGGACTGTGGCATAAGTTTTTTCTTAAGAGTTATATTGAAGCCAGATTTCTCGAAGTCGGCTGCCAAGGGAACAAGGTAGAGCTGGACTCCCGGTTGCTGCCCCACCCTGTTGTTATCTGGGAGGTCAGCCTCTGCAGGCACCCAGACAGGATGATCCTGGGTTTTGGGGAGGGTGAGCTGCCCCTTAAGATTTGTGCACCTTAAGAGTCCCAAATTAGTGCAACAATGAATGAATGAAAACCCAAAATCTCTGTAAATGTTCATTAAAACTAACAAAATTTAATAATAATTAAAAAAAACCCCAACAACAACAACAAAAAGAGTCCCAAACTAGATGGGTGGATGGCTGATGGGCAGAGCAAACTGAGGAGACAACAGATGACTCAAGATGATGGCAGGGGGGAGGCAGCTACCAGGCTGGCTAGCTAATGTTTCCCCCTTTCAGCGATTTGCAGGAGATGTGTCCCAGCTTGGTCATGAAGTTGGTTTGCTTCCATTGTGCGATGCACTCCTCAGAAATTTTAAAATCAGCCTG